TAGCCATGTCAAGCTAAAGTTTAAAAACAGGACACATTCATTAATGTACTGTACATCCATTATTACTTATATAGACTAGCTTTCCGCAAGTGGCTTCTCCCGCGTCGTCCTTAGATAATTGTTTAATGGGTTAAAAATTAGCTAATACGTTAATCCAGGCTTAGAATTTGGTATAATAATTCATATGGATAAGGTTTCAAATCATGACACGGATATACAAGTAATTACAGTGAGAAATTGAATAGTAGACTATGGTAACATTTCAACTCCCTATACAAACTTTAATTTCCATTTCCATCCCTTTATTTCCTGTTTTTTCGGGATAAAATATAGCCTATGTCTACCGACTTTAGCTACCCGTAGATCCAGTAGTTTCGGAGTTTATTTGATACAAACAAACAAATCTTTCCTCTTATAATATTAGTATTAATATCTCAGGACATTAGAAAAAACAGAACATGTCCTGGGAAAACAGGACCTTTGGCAACTCTCCATCACAAGACCGGTATAAAACTGTTTAACAACCAATAAATTGAGTAGACTTGTGTGTTATAAATTTTGTAGCCTATAGATACTTTTTTATTATAATTTCACGCGCATTGCTTTTGTTTAGGTTAAGTTAGAACTGTGGAATTTTTTTTTTCAGTGCTGCTTTACGTACGTAAACACTCCATCTTTGTTTCTATTTAAAAAATATACGAATTAACACGACACTTGAAGGCTTATTCTATTTCTCTGAAAACGTAATTTCGTCTTTTTTTAATATGCTACAATGGCTGACCAAAGAAACGCATTTTTCTATTATTTATCATGCAACAGAGGTAGGACCTAACACTTTATCTGATACACAGATAATCTTCACAATTCGAAAATTTTCGAATCTTTTTTCAAAGACAAATAGAATAAGCCCTCAGGTGTCATGATAATTTGTATGAGTTATATAAATATTTAAACTACAATATGTCTTTCGCAATTGATTTGCAACTCTACCCTTAATGCATGAAGGGTTAAAATCAAATGAAGACATTTGACAGAATTGTATAATCTCCCGACAAATTCGTCTTTAAACGGAAAGCTCACACCTTTCTCCTGGAACGTTTATGAGGATCATCATCATATATGTATTATATTTATGTGTTTGTATATGTACTTATGATTATGTGTAGTATAATATTTATTTATGTTTATATAATTGTATATAAATTCTTCTAAAGTGTAGTTTAAGTAGTATATTTATAAGTTAACTTTATGCCGCCATCGTGTATTTCTGTATCCCAAAGGTTGACTGGTAGAGAATGCTAATAGCATTAAGTCCGCCTCTTGTACCAATTTAATGTACAATAAAGTTTGTTAAATAAATAAATTGTATAATCTGATATGTTGTTAACTGTATGTTATTAACGTAGTATAATTTAAGTTGGAACTGGAATTATAATTAGAAAATTGTATATAAGACATTGTAATAAACTCCGATCAATAATAGGTATAAAAAATGTTATTGAATTTAAATTTCTGTAAGTATGTTTCTCTCGTAATGTAAGACACCATCTACTACCCGCCTATTTAGTAAAAGTCCAGTCTAATCTACGGTTGCCTGGCAGAAATTGCTCTTTAGCGATAAGGCCGCCGATTGTACAACTAAACTGTATCAATTGTAATTTCTCTATAATGTATGGTGTACAATAAAGAATTCATTCATTCATTATTCATTCATTTATTAATTTCTAACGAATATTTATTAATTATATAAAATAGCTAAAATAGAAACTTTATTTTAAGTATTTATCCCCTATTTTTCCCGTTACGGGTGGAATTTATCAATATCCTTTCTTAGGGGATGCCTACTATCTCATAGAAAAATATAAGAACCATTGAGCAGCAGACAAGCACTCGTAAAGACGAAAAAAATTGTGCTGGGAAGAGAGCAAGAAACCTAGTAAAGGCTATTGTTTTCTTCCTATTTTTTTTTCATATAAAACGGCATAGCTGCCGACAATAAGAAATTCTTGAAATGAGAAATGAAAAGAAAGTTTCCTTTGTAGGTTACTCTCGGACGTATTTCAATCAAACAGTGCTTCCTGGCTGCGAAGTCGGGACACAATCGTTCATTAAACTTTGTTTGTTCTTCAAAGTTTGAACTTTTATTATAGAGAGGCTGTACATTGACTTTTATTAACTACCTTTTCATTTTTGGAATAAAAATATATTTTAGTAAAGCTTTTTTTAAAAATTATGGTAAGCGCTGTTTTTCCGTTTAAATTACGTCTATATTATCCGCGTATCATGTAGTTTTAAGTAGATTAAAGAATTTTTAAAATCGGTCCAAGTCTCAGAGTCTATATGGTGACTAAGCAATAAAATCTTTCGTCAACAAAAAAAAAGTCAGATTCTCAAAAATGACCAAAGACATAATAACTGACTTCAAAGTGCGTTCTTATTTCGTTTCAGTTTGATAGCGACGGCGCCGACGTTCGATCCTGTAACGATGCCACAGTATGTATTAAAACTGCAAATATAACTGTATCGAACTAAAATTGTATCTCTTTACAACCCGATATTATATTGGAATATGATATTCGAATAGAATATCATATTCCAATATCGGGTTGTAAATGTGATTTTACATTGTCTATAATTAATAATCAAAGTATTGTCAATAAAATAAGAGTTTTGTTTCTGAGCCTACCTACGCGCTGACATGGCAAACGTTCAGAAATATTTTACCAAATATTCGATGTTCTAAGACAGGACATACATGGAGAAGTGTACTATTTTATTTATTTTACCAAAAATTTGATGACTAATTGAAAACTATCTCGGTATTACACCGAGATAGTTTTCAAGTTTGTGTTCTCGATTACAAAGCCGCGTGCATGAACATGTAGATTTGTATCGGTTTGAGTGTTTTATATGAGTTTTGAGTATCTATTTACAACAAAACTACATACCTATATTTAAAACAAAAGATGCGTTCCTTGAAATAAATCCAGAAATTAGTTTTTTACCCACAAATGACGTTATGCACTCTGATTGGTATTTTATTTGACGTGAGACACAGACTATAAATATAGGAAAATTATATTTTCGCTGATTGATTAAAACATAGAAATAATTATTATTAATAAAGCATAGACGCAAAAATATTTCAAATATTTAAAATTTATGAACTTTTTAACCTCACACAATTTAATTTTTATTTTATTGCTGTCCGGTCTCTTTTTATCAATGTATATAATTATACGTATATTCTACAAAAAAACTGACGATGCGGAGTTCAGTTGTGGCCTAGAGTATTATCAAACAATATACTCTGTGGTATTATGTTCTTTGGTTGTCGCATGGTATGGCGCCGTATTTGACTATTGTTTTAGTACGCAAGATCCCTAGTATCTTCTTCTTAGTCTGTGTATGCAAGGCGTTATAGATAACGCCTTACATACAGTTGTATTGTTGATCAAAGTCTTTGCTCTTAAAAATTATATTAAAAATAAGTTTCATTATAATCGAAAAATCTGCTTCGAACTTAACGTACACCATAACGATGTCATAGCTTTTGGAGGTTCAATCAAAAACTTCAAAAGGTAATAAAAGTTTTATTTTATTGAACATCTATGTTGTGACAGCGTTCAAGGCGACAGTACTCATAGTTGAGTTCGATTGGTATTTTTTTAAACAATATCAAAGCTGGCTGTTATTTTTCTTTTAGTATATAATAGCTGACGAAGATTATCTTTGTTTTAATAGGTTTTGAAAATGGTGTTTAAGTGGTATTTTTATCATTAGTTAAATAGCTATGCTCTAAAATATAATAAACAGCATGATTATCATATATAGAATATAGACGAATTATAATAAATTAAAGTTTATATTTTGTGAAATAGATAAAAAACTTTGTCGCATCAATTATTAGGTTAAACGTCAAATCGTGCAAATGGATTTTAAATATACCCTCAACAGAACGAGCAACGGTTTTGTATATACGTACTTGGTTCAGTTTAAATGACATATTATGTAAATCTAATATTGTAGAAGGGTTATTGCAACTTGTGTTGAAGTTATTTCTTTGCACAGAACCAGTTGTTCCTCTTAAAGTCAATCAAACTACACTGGATGTACCAGGTTATTTACGTTATAGCTCTTTGGCATCCCATATTTAAGAAAGGATTTACCACAACACAGGGGATATTGATAAGTTGACGACAGTGCGAAACTTAGCCGACTACTTATAAAATGTTGTCTATAATATAAGTACTTTCGTACTTTATTTATGAATTTTCAATAGAGACGACGGAAAGTTATAAGTAAGTCTCCAACTTTGCACAAAGACACGAAGAGTATGTTAAGCTGCTGAACTTAAGTAGAATACTGGCGACGAAAAATAAACGGAACACGTATTTTTTTATGAATCATTCAAAGAGACTTACACAAATCCTTGTTCGCTCTCATAGGATTTATACTTCAAACTATTTTATTGACAGTTAAGTTGCACATATATTTTCTGATCATTCTTTACACACACAATGTAGATGTAAAGTTACATTATGCAGACATGTAGTTATTTTTTTATCATTATTATATTAACTTTTGTTCGTCTAGCATTCCAAAGTCAACCATAAACTTTCGGATTACGGTTTTCTTTGATGCAAATCGTTAGCAATTGCTTACGGTGGTTGCAGTGGATATGCGATAATGCCAACTTACTAAAGTTATTTAAATTCCGGGAAATCAGGGTTGTTCCAAATAACCTCTGTTTTAAAATCCGCCGGTCTCTCATAAATGCAATTTTATTATTAGTCCAACATTCTTATTATACAGGGAATACGCAAACTTACACCTTCTAGAGGTAAATATTACCCTCGTACTAGGTTAACCATTGCTAATATGAATTCTGACTAATACTAAGTTAAGTGCAGTCTCAACGTAAATTTACTCCAACGCTAAACCTTGTTTATTAATAACTATATATAGTTATAGTTTTTTTTTATCGAAATCGCACTTACCTTTTCTTCACAACAGCTATGAGGACGATATGTTGAGTGTTTTTTGTCCCTCTTATTGCTCTGGAACAAGAAAATAAATAGCATAAAGAGCTTGATGTATATGCCTCATACTATATTATAATAAATACTGACAATGACAGCTCGCGTAAAAAAGGTCATACTCAAAAATACTTATTTCATTTTCTTCGGATTATTTAATACAATATGAATGAAACAACTTTTAAACGGTTTCATCGCGTTTGTTCCCATTACGTCAATAAAACTAAATACAAACGCGATGGAACCGTATAAAAATTGTTTTATTTATGGATAGATGTGGATCGATAAAATATAAGGAATCAAACTACAATAATATGCCTCATTAGCACATATCAGTATTCTGTTAAAAAAATAATACTATTCTATTATCTTGTCTAGACACGATAGTACAACATTATTTAGTGGGCTAGCCCATGGAACAGTATATAGGCTTCCTATTTCGGAGACACGTTTCTGCTTGAATTTGAAAAGTAGTAATGATTTGGGTTTTCAAATTTCTAACATACTGCAAAAAGAAGTGGTTTTTACTTCTTCTTCTTAACTTTGCGTCACCACAATACTGCCAACTTCGCGTAGGAGACCATTACACGACCATTACAATTTATCCGATTGAATGTTTTTTACTATACGTTTAAGTCATTACCACGAGTACAATGTCAAACTGATTCATAATGGAATGAACTTAATTAGGCTTCAAAGATTTTTATTTGTGCTAGAAGAGCTTTTCGCAATTCAAATTCGGGCACACCCAACCAAGCACTATAAGTTTTCCTAATCTACAATCATAATCTTGTACAAAACATTATTTTGTCGGTAGTTGCCAAAATGTAATTATTTTCTAATATAATTTGATATCATTTTATCGTTCTTAAGATTAGGTTTTTAAAGGAGAATGGGCAATTTACTATGAGAGATCGGCTATTTTTGCGTAACCATGCACATTGTCAAAACCAACGGTAAACGATAGAGAATTATTTCTAGAATGAGCAGGAAAAAAACCATTTTTAAAATTATGCCGGAGTTTGAGAATATCTGAATATCTAACAGAGATTTTGAGGTTATGTCGTTATACTATCTACGTATCAACTAATACGTTCAAACAATCGATGACAACGGATATAAATATTTAATTGCGAAAAGGAACATATCTATACCTACATTATAAAAAGGAAAAGTTTATTTTTTTATTGTGAAGAATTAATTCAAAACAACTGGGCCGATCAACATTATCAGAGTTAAAATAATTTATTTTGTGAAAGTAGTGGTAGGAAGTTCGCATAAATAACTCGAAACTTAGTAGGTAGTCGTAGTTATATTGTAGTAGGTAGGTTTATACTCGCCGCTAAAGAAAATATTATAACGAATGTCACTAGCAATCTTAATTTAAGAAATTTAGGTATTTATCTAATGGAATCTTGTTATATTTATGTATAACACCGCCTAAACAGGCATGTTTCTTCCTCCGTCAAAACTTATCCAAATTCTTATGCTTATAAGAATAAACGAAGCCTATTCTTTGGGATAAGTGACGAACGTTAATTATGCCGAGCGTCGGTTTAGTCTGTACGCGTCATATTCAGACGTGCCACCCGGCCGATTGCATTAATTTGCGACCTATCTGTTACTATGAAATAGCGTACATACGAGTACCTTTGTTCATGCTCAAAGGAAAACCGAAGGAAGCACAGACTAAGAAGAAGATACTACGTGAAGGAAGTCTTATCTTAGATAGTAATTAAATAAGCTTTATTTATTCTATAAGTAGAAAACTAAGGGATTACCTTAGTTTTCTATAATCGATAAGGTGATCAGCCTTATCGAGTCCATTGTTGCACGGTTGACATTTATCCAAGGCCATATCATGAGTCTAAATTAGTCAATTTAGCAACTGTTTCAATACGGTTAATTTTAAACGCCGCATAATTTTAAAAAATAAATTATAATTAAAAGAAGATTTTTGATTAATAAATGCATAGTGTGGAATTTGCGTAATTTTAGCCGACTTCTGCCCAATCTCCTTTATTTAATTTCATATCTATCTATATAAAGTATAATTTATATTCGCTAGCTAGAGTATCAGTGTTGTGATGTTTATTGGGTCTGTTAAAAAGAATTGTAAAATGAAGAATTCACGAAGACACGAAATAAATGGGTAGACATTAGTTACTTCATCTCTCTACAAAGATGAAAATTACTATTTTATTTCTATCGGTACATGTCTCAAGCATATTGAAATAGGGAGAAAATAATTGTTTATTACTAAACAGAGCACATCGGGTTAGTTGTCGGGTCGCAACTGACTACTCTAACGGCTAAACGTTAAGATATAAAATTAATTGAAGAATTTTATGAGTTCTGTAAAGAAGTATCCTGTTGACTGGAAATTGAATACAATCGATATCTCGAACAATAAATTAAAGATGGTTTATTTATGAAATTGTATTTTCAATTTGTATATTGAGAATTCTAGATACTCACTAAAATGAAAATAATTTTATTGAGAATAACTTGAATAATTTTAATTCTTATAAGTTACCTAGTCTAGGCATTTACAATACTTTGCAGAGAGGTTCACATTTTGGAGATGACTGTTATTTAATTAAAAATCTAAACATATTTCAGGTAATTTACAGTCTAGACGATATTTATTATAAAGTGTCTGGGAATTGGATACAACTCTAATTAAGACAGAAAGAATGTATATTTCATAAAACAATACGAAATAAATGAAATAAAAAAGAAAAGTTTCAGGTTCTTTTTACATAAAAAATATTTCTTTCATCATCATCCGCATCATCAGCTAAAATTATTAATGTCCTCACTTCCGAGCCCAGGCTCATTCTTCTTGTTCAATTTGATTCGTATAATTATAATCGAATCAAATATGGAGATCGGTGGGCGACAGCAGATGCTGTCGGAATCAATGGTTTAACGTGTCTTCTTAACAAGGAGGAGCTCGAGATATTTAATTTTGGATCACCTATCCTGTGACTAGCCCTTGCGAAAATTGCTTAACTGCTGCATCCATCAATCTTCTCAAATTTGTTTAAATTGAGTGAAAATAGGGATGAGGACTGGGTAAAAAAAGGAATTCTATTTAATCCGCCAGTCCAATAATATTTTTATTAACGTATTTTATTGCTTCATTTTAAAAAAAAGTAATGGCTTGGATAATATGCTTTAAAGTAGAGGAGTGAAGAGTTTTGTAGAAAATGTACAAAAGCGTGACGTCATGCGAGATTTCAACTAAATATATCGCCATAATTTATCGATTGCGCAAAAAAAATCAATAATACACACTTAATGAAAAAACAAACAAAAATCATCCCTAATACTTAGATAATAAAAAGATAAATAAGCAAAAGACAAAATATTTCTAGTAGGTAATACTTTTACATCCAGTAAAACTATCATGCACCGGTGATAATGCTATCGCGTCTTATTGATTTTGTTGGTGTCAAATAAAACCTAATCTAAAAGGTAATAAAGGTTTTATTTGATTGAACCCCTAATGTTGCCACAACGCTATATTGGACGCTGTATTTGTAATAGAATTACAGAGTAGTCATTTATTAACTGCGGTAAAATTAAGGCGGAACAAACTCCATAAGATTAAACGACAGTAACAATGTTTATCAAAGAAACTATATTTCTTTTAAAAGTGTTCCAAGAGGCTTTCGTCTGACTACGTCCTGACTATCAGTGTAGCGTTTAACCAATCGTAAAAGCGAACGTAACCAATTGTTCGGTCGCTCGATCGGTCGGAAATCTTATTGGAGTGGCACAAAATGTGGAAGAAACCCTTCTATTGGAGGCAGTGTTCCGTGGATACTTTGAAAGTGGATGTTTCATTGAAAGGAGAGCTCGTCGTATGGGTGTATAGTTTGAAGTTCCTTATTTTAACGAAACATATTCATTCTAATTTTTTATTCACTATTATCCATGTCTCAAACATATCGCATCTTAGGTTAAGCAAATATGATAGCAATACTGTTGCACAAACTAAACCTTAACAATTTAAAACGATCAAAACAAAAGATTATTCGTAACAGAGAAGTACAGTTAATATTATAAAGAGGAAAGACGATTGTTTGTTTGCAATTAATAGGCTCCGAATCTACTAGACCGATTTTGAAAAATCTTTCACCTAAAGCTACATCATATGCGGTGAACATAGGCCATATTTTATCTCGAAAACTCATTGTAATTATATGAGTATCATGATATGAATTGATATCCAAATTAATTATAAAAATTATTTAAGATGTTCCCACAGGAGTAAATAATCTTACTAATATTATAAAGGCGAAAGTTTGTAACTTTGGATGGACTTCTTCACGCAAAAACTACTGAAAGGATTTTGATGGAATTTGGTTTATAGATAATTCAAAGCCTGAATTAATTAATTAAAGGTTACTCTTTGATCTGCTAAATTGTTCTCTAGGCACCATGCGGGCGAAGCCGCTGATGGAAAGCTTGTTACTTATATACATGTTCTGGGTCGTTGTGTGGTCGTCGTCGTTGAATTGGGCCGATTGAGATCTGCCCGGGCATATCATGATATGATATGCGACCAAAATACTCAAGATACAACTGACAATTAGAGATTAATGCGAGCATACACGTAAAACAAATTTCCATTTCAATCAACGTTTGCTAAGTACATAACATGATACATGCATGCCATCAGTCAATCCACGTACCTTTATCATTCGACGTTAAAAGCAGTAACAAGTTGCTCATACACAAAAAGCAACCTTAAAAAAATTTAAACAAATGACTTCGTGATGTAAAAAAAATGTGGTCTGGCATATCAAACAGGAGTTCATATTGATGATGTAAAACACGAGTTGCGGTTTCGTTTCAAAGATTTATGACTTGATAAGTAATCTCAGTTCCCCTGAGATCCATACGTTTTCTCCTATAAAATTTTATATCTACCCATGTATCATGTTCTGGTGTTTTCATGGAAAACGTAGGCATATTTTTAATACTAATATGTATTTTTCCATAACATTTCTATACACGTTAC